CACTGCAAGACATGAGAGAGCGAGGGCTGGGACGCAGGGTTCCCAAATGCAATCCACTGTTTCCATGTGACCAACAGAAAGGACAAAAGAAATCCTGCATGACTGCCTGTTGAATTACTTTCTTCCTTACCTTGCTTCATGTCCTAAGCAAAATTCTGAGAGAAACAGGTGACTGCAAAAACTGTCTGGAAGGGGGTTGAGTAGGTGGAAGTTAAAACAACACACATTTTGATGTAACAGTTGAACAGCTGATTGCTGCCTGATGACTCTAAAGGGTAACTCTAAAAGAAGTTCATTTCTTCTCCAGTAATGAGGCCACATTTCCTTTTGTATTCAGAGAAAATTGTGTATCGAGAATAATCAATGGACCATGCTCAAGTCATTAAATACTACATATGCTGCAGAAGGCAACTTTGATAAAAATAACTTATTATACCTCCACAATCTCTGGCTGTTTGCAGCTCTGTGGATTTTTCTGAGGAGGGGTCCACATGAACACATATTTCTCCTTACAAATAATGGAGGAAATCTTCTTAGAAATTGAAACACTTCAGTAGATAATTTTGCCTAATATGTCACTACTTTGAAAATGATTAAAGAAAATGGAGTCCCCTCCCCCAGTGGAGGCAGGTACTTTGACTTGTCAAAGTTAAGTTGGACATTTTCTCTTCGTTTGGAACCGCCGCAGAATGAGCCCTTTCATGTCCTCAATAATACCAAACCAATGCAATCCATCTGTTCTGCCAAATTATTCCTAGTTCCCTAACCAAAGGCACTGCTTTTTCATGCATTTTATCATGATTTTATGCCCTTTATTATATTTTACAAAAGGTTCTGATTCCTCCAGGGCCAATGAGAACTGATTAGGACACTGGCTTCAATCCAGGCTTTGAACACAGGAGAGGAAGGAATAGAACTGTTTCCTTTTTTCTCTGCTCCTTGGCAGAAAAAAAAATTATGAATCTATACCGTGTGTGCACTCCGTGTGTGGGTGGGTGTGGGCAGGCCATGTTTTATCCTGTCACAGTATGACTTTGTAGATCATGTTCAGAACATTCTTTCTATAATCATGTTGCATTAAGGGGCTTTATTTCAGAAAGACTATTTCTTTAGGAAAGAACCATGGTGCATTGTGAGACTCAATGATATGGTAATTTTACATGACTTTAGTCAAACTTCCAGTATGAATAAAAACTGTCCTGGATCTGTGTTGAATCTAATCATACCCGTAATCACAGAGTAGATGCTCATTAAGCCTTAGCTCCTTCCTGATTTTCAGTGGACACTGATTGAAGGCAAGGCACAAAGAATGATAATGGAGCTGTGAACACAAGGGTCCTCGGTGTTTCTTATTAGGAACAAAAGAAGAGCTGTAAGCACTCATTCCTTGACCTATATAGGCAAAGATCCAAGGCCTATTTATGCATACTGTGGAGGATGCATTCAATGTCCCAATATACTCAGAATTCTTAAAAATCCTTTGGGTCAGAATAGCATGGGTGAGTTTACATATTGGTCTTTCAGATCAGTCATCTCTGAGAATGGAAATAGGCATCTCCCTAAATTAAGATAAACAGAGCACTTTTTTCCATTTTGTTTTCAGACCCTTGGGAGCATCTTGAGAGGAAAATGAAGAATAAAGGGCACGTGGGAAATAGAAGGAGAAGGGAAGTGATAAAAATATCTACATTTAAGCCTAAACAAGTGAAAGACTAAATTAAAATGAGAAGTATTGGACATGAGTATAAGAGGAGAGCCGAATGTGACGGAGGCAAGGCATGATAAGAGGAGGTTAAACCAGAGCCTCACCAACAGTGTTAAGAACACACTTGCAACTGGGGGACTCTTAACTCAGCCATGAACTAAGTTCCCACACCAAGACACAAAACTCAAAGTACTCTTTCTCCAGGTCTTTCTAGAGGGAGAGAACTTTGTCATAGGCTAGCCTCCACTACTTGTTTCTCTCCAGCAACTGAAGAAGCAAAGGTGACTGTCAATAAATCAGCTTTCTCTAGCTGCTGTGATGAGGTGTGCATCTTTGTATTCTCAGCACTCGTGAAGCAGAGGCAGGATGATGGTGACACTGGGGACCACACTGACATCCTGTCTCCAATTATAAAACAAGAGAACAACACAAAAAAGGATGATTACTTGTTTACATTGAATACAATTAATGTTCAAATGATAGGCTGATATATAGATAGATGATAGATACATACATAGATACTTAGATAGACAGATACATAGACAGATACATAGATGATAGATAGATAGATAGATAGATAGATAGATAGATAGATGGATCTAACATCTGTGTCAAAAGTTATTAAGATTTATAAACATTGGTGTATTTCAATAATGAAGCAACAACAGAGTATGAGATAAAAGCAGAAACTCAAAATGAGTCACGTTGCACTGCAGGGCTGGATCCTTAGTGCCTCTTAGCCAGTCTTACCCAAAGTGATGAGCGTTAACTCAGCAGGTGTTCTTTTACGATCTGTCATCACATGAATGACTGTCTTCTACCACGAATCCTGGGTCCTGTTAGAGATTATTATGTGAGTGTGTGACTGGGAATTCAACTAGAGTGCTATTTGAGTTATTGAAAAATAAGAAAAATATTTGAGGCAAGCATGGAGTAAACGGTATGCAAATGTATGTAACTAGCTATTAAAACACTATTGATGATGTTTAATTTTATACAATAGGCAAAAATTCAATATAGTCCTGAAAACATTCTTGTAGGAAAGGAGAGTGAAGACTGTGGTAAGGGTTTAGGATAATGCAGTATCCAAAGCCTGAGTCTAAATATGAGCTATAGAACTGACCTTGTTAGTATGGCCTGTAATTCCAGGCTGAGGCAAGAGTTTTGCAAGTTCAAGGCCATCTTAGGCAAAGTAGTAAGACCTTGTCTCAACATTCATGTGCAAAGAGGCCTGTGTGTGAAGCTTGGTGATGAGTGCTTGTCCACTGCGTGGCTCCTGGGTTTAATCTACAATACTCTGAAGACAGGAGAAATGATGGACATTATTTAATGTGTTGGTGCCTCACTGCACCTGCATTTATGATGTGTCTATGGGCAGGAAGCTCTTGCCTTCATTAACAGCCATGGTTATGCAACTAGGACTGGCTGTCAGTCCTGCTTGCCAAGTTCTGCTCATGCTAGTTTTAGATGATTCAACCACAAAGTTACCAGATTTCAGGGCTTTGGAGAGGATGACTTTCCACCCTCCGAAATCTTCTAGTTAAAGTTTGTCTCTGAGCTCTTGACTTAACTTTCTCTTACTAAGTTTTCCTTTTACTTGTTGTTCTATGCATATGGTTGTTCTGACCTTTCATGAGCATTTCAAAATCTCGTGTTTGCTAGCCATTCTCCTCCTTTTGTAAGATGTTTGTTAATTGATCAGAGCAATGCCTGTCGTTATCACATTTACTTAGGAATAATTTCTCTAACATGTATCCTTAGTTTTTTAGAACTATAAACTGGATTGCTGAATGATCATAATGCTGAATGATAATGTCAAAAGCAGAGAACATCAATGTTATGGTAAAGAAAGGTCCTGAAGTTTTTGCTTGTTTCTTTGGGACATAAAGGTAGTCTTGAGAGCCTTCTGCTTCCCATCATCTTCTCGCTCTGTGGCCCTTGCCATTCCTCCCTAACTGTGACCTGATCATTTATTTTATTGACAAGCACAGCTCTGCCTCCTGCACAGTAGAACGTGTGTGTCACCAGGCAGCCATTTCTCCAGCTTGCCCTCTCAGTGAACCACATAGCAACACTGACTGATCTCCCTACAGCCTCATCACCTTACACCCAGGACTCTGAGGGTAGAATTGTCCTGGTCCCCAAGGAGGTGCTCTTCCAAGAACTTTCAGGTTTCAAAGAATTTGGCCTTTCCTTCTGCCTCTGCAACATGGAAGAACAGTTTTGTTTTGTTTTTTGTTTTTTTTTGTTTTTGTTTTTGTTTTTTAATCTCACCAATGTTCTGTGCTTCAGTGTTCACTTCCTGCTCTTTTATGGTCATATGTTCTCTATGTGTGGATTAATGTTGTGTAGTTTTCAAAAGTGGAGGTGAATTAACATCTTGGGCCAGAACAACCATTATCTGGCTCATGGATGTACTAGGAGAGATACGTCATGGGAAAACCACATGTTGGCTAATTGAGACTTAACTTAATGCACAATGTTGATGATTATGACATGAAAAATCTTTGTTAAAATGAGTGAAATTCTCTCCTGAGCCTGACTATAAAAACGTTGAATGAGTCTAGATTGTCTTAATTCTTCAGTGGTATTTATTTTTGTTTAATTGCAAAACTGCCACCAACTAATATTTTTATAAAATACTTTAAAGGAAATATTGTATGGGTGAAATAGAAAGTGGGGGTGCATGAAATTTTGTTAGATTCAAAGCATAACTTATTGTCAAATTGCCTTGTAAGTTTCTAAACATTGACAACAGATCTCTATATCACTTCAGTACAGACATTGATAATCAGCCCCTGACCTGTATGTACTGTTTGGGGTACACGTTGAGAAATGTTGGTTTAGATTATAGCAAACATGAAATAATTCAAATGCTTGTGATAGTGAAAAGCCAATGCAGTCAAGTTTAGTGCTATTAACTTCATCCTCCTTCCAGCATCTTCTTCAGGTTAGTGTGACAAATAGGATAATCATTTTGTTTGGTATATAAACAGTAATGCTTATTTGTGGGGTTTTTTTTTTATGAAACAGATACTTTTATACTAATTTCTTTGTTATAACTTTATTTTTTTGTCAGAAAAAAATAGCTTTATGTTCTCAGATATCTGTTTACCTGAATCTTGTATATGCTCATTTTCCAGTTTTTATTTTGTTACTTTACCAAGCAAATCTATGTCACATTCTTGCATGATGAATCTGATCCCATTATTAATCATCTAAATGTGACTTGAGGTCTCATTTTCTTCTGAGTGTTGTCAGTGAAAGACTATAGGTTTCTGCTGTTTTCTTTCAGCGAATTCAAGGTCGAAAAGCCAGCCTGGAGGAAATACAGCTTGTTCACTCTGAGCATCACTCACTCTTGTACGGCACCAGCCCGCTGGACGGACAGAAGCTGGACCCCAGGACGCTCCTAGGTCTGTGCAGGCCTCCGCTCTGCTGAGAGCAGCACATTCCAGCACTGCCATTAGTCAGTGCTGGTGTCAGCTCAGAATACTTGGCAAGCAGTGTGACAAAAAGATCAGTTTTTCCAGCAGTTGCTGCCTGGCTTGAGTTGTGTAAAATAGAAACCAATGCAGATTCTGCATTAGAAAACGATACTGCACAGTGTATAACGCTTGTTTTTAAATTAACTTTATATGGACAGCAGACATATGGTATGTTTTCACATGTAGAAATATGTGAGCTACCAAATTTGTTTCATTATATTTTCAAATGAGGCGATCATAAGACCTTTTCACATTCTTTATGGAAATTTCTTTTTTTTTTTTTAATTTTTCTTTTTGTCCTTCTCCTTAGTTTCTGTCTTTCAGGTCTTCCTTCTGAGCTCAACACACTGAAATAAGAACACCTTATTTAAAAGAGAACTGACTGAAGGTCTTGATATGATCCATTAAATATAGGCCATACTTACGGGAAATAAATAGTACAGTAAATGGAACAAGTAGAAAACTAATGAGAGCAATTTGTTTCAATGTATGTTTTTTTCCCGAAATTTATCAGATTTTAAAATAAAATTTAGGCTTCAGAGATTTAATGTAGATATTGAAACAATAGATATTTTGGAACATATTAGTGGCAAAATAGTAGTAGGAATTTTATTTTATTCAGAACCTCTTATACTTGAATAACAATACCTAACTTGGAAACATGCTGAAATAATTGTATTTTACAGTTTTAACTCAAAAGAAACATTTTAAAACTTGTCTCTTTCCTTTGACGAAATCTATCAAAGCAGTCTCAAATCATTGAACCTTCTCACCTAATTCAATATTATTTCAAAACAGTTTATGTTAACTGGACTTAAGTAGTTCAGAGCAAGTTTGTGGCACATAATAGGTAGGCATCTCTGGAAGCCACAAGGAGAGGTCAGCAGTTATCCCCTGTCACTCATGCCTGGGCCTTCTTAAAGGAGTGACAAGCCTCTTTAAATGCGTGAGCATGGGCCCTTCCTAGTCTGTGTCCCTGCCAATGTGTGAATCCCTGTAGGACTGGCAGTTGAGGGAGAAGTAAGCAGAAAGGAGAACACAAAGAGCTTCCACAGTTTACAAAGAATGTTGCTCAAAGCTGGTTATGGTAAGCATTTTATTTGATACAATTTATTTAATACAATTAAATTTATGTAAAACGTATACAGATACAAATAAACAACTCCAATATCTATGCTTTAAATAATCTTTTTGGTTCTTTTCCTTTATTTTGAGACAGGGTCTGTCTGTTGTTAGTACAGGTTGGTTTTGAACCGTTGGCCCTCCCTCCACAGCAGCTGAAGAGCCTGTCACCAAACCCAATTCTTTGTTCCTTTGGATGAAGACATGCTTCGAACATACAGATGCTTTACATGAAGAGTTTTCTTTTGCAATGTATTTTTTTTTATTTTAACATGAATAATGCTATCTAGCTAACCACAGGATTGCACTCCCAAACATTTTAATTTTCATGACTCTATGATACCTACATTCTCAAGTATTTAAACAGATGTATCTATCATTTAATTTGATAAAAATAGAACTCAAACTACATTTTCTTTTTATTTTGCCCCTAGAGTGTAATCAAGCCAGTCATAAGAGTAACTGCTTTGGGCCTTCTTTGGAACACACTAAGGATTGTTCAGACTATAAGCAGTAGTGAGCATGATTTCCCTAGCAACCAACATTCCAAGGGTTAAGAACAAAGACATTTATTAATGAAGTGAAGTGTGAACTTAGACATCATGACCATTTTATTTACAAATTACAGGTATCTTTCTGCCATTAAAGCAACACTTTGACTATATATTAACCCTAGTTCAGGTAGCACAGGGATTCTGCATTCTCTGCCACAGGGAGGGCAGCCACATTGTTCAATTTTGGCTGCATTTTAGAACTCCTGGAGCTCGTCTGGAGAATGAAAAGTACTGCTGATCTCCCTCAGTTCCAGCTTGCAGTAGACTGCCAGCTTCTCTTAAAAGGTTGCTTTGTATTCTTTGTGGAATTTGGATTATTGTAGCTTGTAATTCTTTGGTTTCCAGTAGACCAGAATGTTGTTGCTTCATTTGCAGAAATTCAGACTCAAGATGCTTTGTCCCATTTATCCATTCTATTTACTGCCATGCAATTTTTGGACTTCCCCAGTCCTTCTCAGCAATATGTGAGGTGTCATTTCTAACTCAAAATTTATACTAGACTCATTATAATTATGTTTTACAATTAGAAGGAAGAATTTAAATTGAAATTCAGTACGACCAGGCCTATAAGTCTCTGTATTGTGAAGGACATATTACAAAATAATTATATTTTAAAGGGACTATCCATTTACCTCCTTAGATACTCTCGACCCTGTACAATGGATACACTGAAACTATTCTCTCCAGTAGATCGTAATAGTTTTTCTATAGAATTAATGCCCCTGTCATTCTTTTTTTTCATTATTGTTATTGTTATTATCCTCATCATCATTTATTACATTTGTTTAATTTGTGTGGCAGCTGTGGCCTCCTCCCAAACCTACACTCCCTCCCTCTTCTACCTTTATGCCCCTTCCCTAGGGGAGCAGGCACTTTCTCTGGCATGAACTCAGTGTCTGGCTCTCTGATCACCTCCCCCTGGTGGGTGCAGCCTTGCCAGGCCACAGAGGAAGATGATGCAGCCAGCCCTGATGAGAACTGATAGGCTAGGGTCAGATAGAAGGGGAGCAGGACCGGCCCTGTCATTCTTACTGCCACTTTTTATTACCTCATAAGCTAGTTAGACTTCAGCCCACTGATAAGTTCATATAGTGCCTTTAACAATACTTTCAGTAAGTGAAGTAACTTAAAAATTTCTTTCATACAACTAAATTAAAATTATCAATTACTTTATTTTTAGTTATATAACTAAATAAAATTTAAACATCACTAATAAATTTATTTCCATTTCCTTAGAACTTAATAATTTTTTGATTACTTCTTTCAAATACTTTATTGCAATACAGCATATTCTTAATTGCTCATACACAATGAGTTCAGGTATTAAAGTTTTTTTTAATTCGCATTTGATATATGGATTCAGTCTTGCAAAGTGCTCAGGGACACATGGATCACCTTGTTAAGAATAATAATATTAAAGTTATTTAGCCTTCTGCAGAGTTATGCAGAAGTATTTCATTCATTCGTGTGAATGCGCACATGTTTATATGTGTCATTTTTGGGCAATGGTGCTGTGGCGGATGATAGATTTCAGGAGTCAGTGTTCTCTTTCTGAGGCCTAAACTCAGATTATCATGCTTTGCAGCCTACCAAGCCCTCTCTTTTATCCCCAAGTTTTCTCTTGTTTTGTTTTGTTTCGTTTCGTTTCTAAGTGGCTTTTACTGGTGCTGGTTTACCAGTCTTAACACTATGATGTAAAGCCAAGGCTTTATGCATTCTAGGCAAGTGCTCTCCCATTGAGGTATGCCCTCGGTTTTTGTTTGTTGTGTTTAATTTTGCTTTGAGGGGGAATCTGTCTGTCTAATTAGATGTTTTAAGTTATTCATGAGTTTTTCTTTATCATTTTTCATGTCACATATTGCATTAACAAAACCAACTCATAAAATTTATTGTTTCCAAAATAAGCTTTTCTCAGTGATAGGACAGGATAATTCACTCAGATAATTTGAAATTCACCACAAACCTGTTTTCAATTTTAATTGGCATTTCACTGATCATTAGCCGAACATGGGTGAAGGGGAGGTTTGTTCCTGGTTCCACCAATGATGATGAGTACCCCACCTTAACTCCAGGAGATAATCACCATTAATATTCCAGCATCTATGTGAAATGTGACATATCAACAGATATCCTAAATGATATTATCCTTATTGCATTATGTTTTGTTTTGTTTTTTAAATGGAAACCCTGGAGAGGACTATGATGTCCTCGATCTGAGTTATATCTTAGGTTAACTTGAGATACTTGCAACATGTAAGTATACATACATGTTTCTAGGGTGTAAGTTAAGACTAAGCTCTTGGGCTGCAGAGATGGACCAGTGATTGTGAGCATGGCCTACTCTTGCAGAGAACCCAGGTTGGATTCCCAGCAGGCACATGGTGTCTCACAACCACCTGTACCTCCAGCTCCGGGGGGGGGGGGGGTGATGCTTCTCATGAGCTCCGTGGGCACCAAGCGCACATGTGGTGCCCATGCAAACATTCTGGCCAAACACATACACATAAAACAATAAACCAACTAATAAAAAGACAAAGACTGAACATTTGAGAAAATACTTTGTATTTGATTTTTTTTTTTTAAATTGCAGCGCTTATTTTCATAAAGCTTGTGGCTTGAGCCATCATGTTGGAAACTATGCTCAGTAGACAGCTGAGTAACTGAATTGCAGTTTTTTTTGAATGGTAATGGACAGTACTGCTGCATTTGGTGTTTAAATGCTCCTGAGCTTGTTGTGGAGTTTCAGCACTTCAGAGGCTGGGACAGGAGGATTGCTCTGAGTTTGTGGGCAGCTTGGGCTACAAAGTGAGTTTAAGGCCCAGGGGCAACACAAAATGAAATTATATCTCAAAGCAAAACAAGATTGTTTTTTTTTTTTTTTTTTTTTTTTTTTTTTTTTATGAGGAGCGCAGTGTTTCTTTCTGTACTGCTGCAGGTGAGGGCGTTGGGCAGGAGGAACACACAGCCCACCCTGTATTTGCATAATCCAGAACGCATGACCACCCACCCAACAAGGGCTTAGGCAGAAAAGGAACGTCCCTGACTGACTGGAGGGCAAGTCCTCTGTATCTTGGGAGGATGTGGGGGACCACTCCAGGGAAAGAAGTAGGGAGGCCGTTTGCCCAGTGCTCTGGCCAGGGTCTTCACTTTTGACTGCAAAAGTCATGATCTGAAGAAATTTCTATCACAAATAAATTTTTTTCATGTGAGGTGACTAATTCTATGTGTGTTGTTTTTGTTGTTTTGTTTTGTTTGCATTTGTTTTCTTTGCTTTGACTTTGTATCTATGTATAAACAAGCAATGTATTCTGGAAGTTAAGTCCAGCTGCTCTAAATTTTAATTAATTTTCTAATGAGTGAAATAATGAATACATATGACCTATTATATGCTCATAGAGACCCAAACTGTGAGACCTCTACATTCATTGTGTGCTTATGTCTCCTGTCTTCATACTATGCAGGTGACGATTCTCGAAAGTTCTTTTCGTCCTTACCTTGTGGTGGACTTGGGGTAAGTGTGAATTTGTTTACTGCTTTTTTATTTAATTTTTCTTTTTTTTTTCTTTATTTACTCACTTCACTTTACAGCTTGATCCCAGCCCTCTCCTTCCTCTTCTCCCAATCCTACCTTCACACTCCTTCCCCCCATTCTCCCCTCTTCTTTTTCTCAGAGAATGGGAGGCCCCCAAGGGTTACCAACCCACCCTGGCACATCAAGTTCCATTAGGACAAAGCATATCCTTTCCCACTGAGGTCTGACAAGGCAGCCTAGTTAGGGGAAAGGAATCCAGAGGCAGGCAGCAGAGTAAGAGACAGCCCCTGCTCCCATTGTAGGGGACCCATATGGAGACCAAGCCGCACATCTGCTACATATGTGTAGGGGCCTAGGTCTGGCCCATGCAAGCTCTTTGATTGGTGGTTCAGTCTCTGTGAGCCCCCATGGGCCCAGGTTAGTTGACTCTGTAGGTCTTCTTGTGGTGTCCTTGACTCCTCCAGCTCCCTCTATCATTCCTCCCACTCTTCCACATTACTCCCTGAGCTTGGTCTAGTGATTAGCTGTGGGTCTTTGCATCTATTTCCATCAGCTGCTGGGTGAAGCCTCTTAGAAGACAGTTATGCTAGGCTCCTGTTTACTGCTTTTAAATTTCACAAGCTCACAGTATCTCTCCTGCGATGTATCTCTGGAGTTGTGTCAAGGATTGTTCTTCAGAAAGGGCTGTGTGGCCCACTGAGCTGGATGCCAAGTCTGAAGCTGCCTACTCATACGATTTACGAATAGAACTATGCCAAGTGTGAGGCCTTTCTAATCCAGTTGTGTGATAAGGAGCTCATTCCTTGAATCGAGCATTGTTAGGCTTTATGTGGCTGGAGAAAGGTTCCTAGGAGAGATTTTTTTTAAAGTAATTTTGCAGCAGAACTCCATTTTCCATAGAATTTCACCAGCTAAGCACAAGTTTTATAGCTGGAGAAAATGGAACAAAGTACCCACACAAAGTGCTTTGCATTATGGGACACATTGTGAGTCTATGAGGCTGTTTTTGTCTTCAATAATTAACAAAGCCTTTTGACCAAAGATATTTATATCACATCACAAGAATAGATTTGTTCAGATCCAGCAACATATGTATAAATATGTCTACATTTTTGTGGATGATTAGAACAAAGGCTATAGCTGGCAATCTATTTAAAGTTAACATTTATCAGTAACAAACCTTCACTCTGTAACATAAATTTAGGTCAGGTTTCCAAGGACTAATACATTTACATCAAGCAAACTTTGTGGATTTTGAAGAAAGATCAAAAATAATGTTTTCTTATCGCTGTCATATATACAAAATTTCCATATATTTCTGCTCATCTTATCATCTAATGATGCCTAATTTAAGAACTTCCTGTTCTCTCAGCTTATTTCTCCGAAAAAAATTCTAGCACTGATCAGTATCTATTTGAACTGGATAGTTTATCAAACTGAGTTCTGGGAAGCCAACAAAGTGTAAAAAAAGATGTTGATAGGTGTTGTCCCTACACATATTTCTATGCATAATATTCATTGCTGGTGCTACAAAAGGTAAAAAGAAGGCATCAGCTCCTCTGGAACTGGTGTTACACATAGTTGTGAGCCACCGTGGGTGGCTGTGGGTGGTGGGAATTGAACCTGGGTCCTCAGGATGAGCAACAACTGCTCTTCATCACTCACATCTCTTGAGGCCATACATAGTCATTATTACTAAGCAATTTTTGGCACGTGGGAAACAGAATTTTTAGGTAAGCTGCATACACTTTTAAAAATCACACAGCCATTGATGAAGGGCTGGAAGTATCAATGTCCACACTCAAGTTTAGACTCGGTGAAGCAGCTTTTCGAATTCTTCCACGGGGTTCATCAATACCAGATGGCTGCTGACGATCCTCCTTCCCTCCAGCCTCACAGCGCCTGCTATGGGCCCCCTTTCCTTGCAGCTCACTAGTGACTTTTTCTGTTTGATCCTTGACACAAAGCAGGCATCATCCCTGCTTCAGGCTGGCTGGCCAGAGCATAACCCCTGCAGTGCTGGGAGCTTGCCTGACCATTCTGAAAGGCAGAGGATAAACGACTTTTGAAATGGTTTTCGTTGCCTTTGCCAGTATGTTGTAATATCCCAAGTGGCTGTTTCAGGAGAAAGAGCACTTACCTGCAAATGGGGCAAAGAGGGAAACGAAGCCATTTCCCTGGAACTGTGGCAGGGAAGGAAATCAGAGCAAAGAAAGGTGCACAAATGAGGCCTGCTCCCTCCCATACATGGGCGTTTAATTCATGATGCATCACTTAGCTACAGGTGGCCTGTTGAGACTCCCCTTCGAGATATAACCTGACATGTACCTGAGGCTCACTGTCCCAAAGGACCCTTATTGACCCTCACTAAACCTATACCGACTTAACTTAGTCTTCAGCCAGAATGACTTCAGAATTACTTCAGTAAGTTAAAAGGCCTAAAGAATGAATAGTGGCTGTTCCAGGTGGCTCTGTATCCCCAGCACAAAGCACAGCAGGTCATAGAACACCTTCTTCGTTTTATCCCATTTGTAGCCCTGGTTGGGGGGTAGTCAGCAGTGCTGATGGGTTATGTTAGTGTGGGCAGAGGCAGATGAAGGGAGGCTGAGGTGGCCCTGCTAACCACAGAGATGGTTGGAGAGGACTCAAGAGGGATACTGTGCTTACCAAGTTTTCCTCAGTCTTCTGGGTATGCCCTGGTAAGTGTGTGTTTGTGTGTGTGTGTGTGTGTGTGTGT